AAAAAAAAAAAAAAAAAAAAACTAGAAGATTCAAACCAAAATCTATTGTATTTATACATTGAATTATAAGCCTACATCCATTACTAAACTACAAAACACAGAAAAACATTTCACATCTAACACTAACACATAACAACAAACAACTAACTGAAACCCAAAATGACTGAAAAATCTAAATTAAAACAAAAAAAAAACCAACCAACAAGAACAAACAAAAGGGCCTTAAATCTTATAACCTTAGACCCTCCGAGTAAAAGCCTTAAACGTATCTAAACCTCGTCAGTTTGCCCGCTCGGCATGACACATGAACACGGATTCCAAGTCCGGAGGATTAAAGAACTCCCTTACACCACGAAAACTGCAGTTCGAAGATGGGCGGCGCTTTCTTGGTGCCGGCGGGCAGGAGAATATTTCCGGCAACTTTGATTCACGAGCGGTGGGGGTTGTGGGCCACGGGCCGCCGTGATCAATGTCCTCCTCCTCCCTAGATTTTGTGGATATCGGTTTCAGAGGAGCCCTTACAGCAACTCCGGCTATAACCCACTTTCTTCCTTCAGACTCTTTGCCCGTTTCAATTTGATGCTTCTTCGAAAAACCCATGTGAAAAAACTGACAAAAAGATTCAATTTTTATTACTTTGTTTTTGGTGAAGAACAAATTCCTTGGCTCAAAAGGTTATATAAATCACAAAATAGGACGAAAAAAAGATCCCCTTTTTTGTGTGTTTGTGTGGGAGCTAAAGAGAGAGCTTGAAAATCACAGAATAAGTAGAGGGAATAAAACGAAAGGAAATTTGAAGGGATCTCTAAGAGAAGAGTAGTAAAGCTTCAAACTAGGGGAACAATGGCGGCAAAAAGAAGAATTTGTTTCGGGCTTTCAACGGGCTTTTTATATTTGGGGGTAGGAGAGAGAAAATGAAGAGAGAGAGGGAGAGGAAAAAATAAGCTAAACCTAATTTGGAGGGTGTGTTTATAAAAGGTCAGTTCGTAAATGGAAAATGGAGGTTTATTAAATTATTATTAAATTATTTATTAAATTATTACAGTATGAGATTTTGTACAGAATGTGAGTGTGAAATTGAGAGGGGGGCCTTTTTTGGAGGCTGCCCGTGGAAATTTCGGGCAGCCAAAAAATTTGGGACTGAGAGACTTTACCGCCAATTTTCGTGATTTTCAGAGGACAACGGCTCCATTTCCCGCCCATGATGTATTTTTGTCTTTTTTCCCATCTTGACCCCGTTGAATCTGCTAAATTTCTTGAACCTTGAATGCGGCGGAAACCGACGTCGTTTTGGATGTTGGAGTATATGGGCTTGGTTGGGTTGAGATGGGCTGCTGGGTTGCTGGGCTTGACTGCGTCTCTATAGTCCATACATTTGCAGTCTTAAAAATGGAAGTGAGAATACTTCGAAATTTATTTCACTATGGCGTTTTATTCATGAATCATGTTATATCTGCAGTCCGTCCATATTGCATGTTATCTGCAACATTTGGAGAGAGTACAATATATTGCCAAAAAATTATACACTACTTATCTCTTAACTCCTAATTAATTGAATTTTCAAAGTTAATTAGGTAAATTAACTATGTAACGAGCTGAAAGAAATAGTCGTTATGGAGTTATTTCTCACAAAGAACAACAAATTCTTTCCATGGAAAATAAATACTATGAATTTCTTAGATTGATGAATTGGTAACAATTAACAAATAAACTCATCAAGGCCATAATTGTCTGACAAATTCGACCATACGATTTTAAGCATTGTTTTCATAAAACTGAAAATATACTAGTAGTAGTATATTTGAAGTATGAAAGGCCCGGCCCGGCTTTCAAAGCAAAGGCATCACAAATACGAATTATTGTTGATAATTAATGGAGTATCTTTATCTTTATTTTAAACACGTTCGTTCAAAGTTCAAAATAATTAAAATGTGCGACCTACGAGAAGATAGCTACGAAATTGGACACACAAAGCCTGCCAGTGCAGGTGATTGGCTGGCTGAGCAAGTGGCGGGGCCAATGGGCGGCCGCCACCGCCTTGCTGCAGCCAATCATAAACATTCGCAATGTTGGAAATATATGACAGCGCGCCCAGTGGGCCAATCCAATTAGGATGATATCTGTGGATTATATTATATTCCACTAACACATGGGCCTTATTCCTTTGTTCACAGGGCCCACGTCGCCTTTTGTTGTATTTTATTTCCTTATCTTTTAAAAAACAAAGGCATGTTGGTTGCCCAAAAATTATCTTAAATCCAGACTAAAACAAAATAGTTGGCTGCAGCATCATCGTGAGAAAAACTATTTCACTAAAAAAAAAATAATTTTGGAAAGAGTTAAGGAATAAGATGAAGATTTTAAAATGTTTAATCAAGCATAAAGACGAAAATAACGATTGAAATTAATAGTAGGCAAAAATAACAAAACTAGTGATTAATAATTAGAGATATGCAAGTCAATTAACTTTTATTTATAACTAATGAAGCCCTCTCCTTAAATGCATTTGCGAACATATATTTACGATTTTATGTGTCAATTTCTAGTATTTGAAGTAGTCTATGTATATATATATGAATTCCATCTATGTCTATTAGACTTTATAATTAAAGATATTTAACTAATTTGAATTATATATTTTCAAAATTATTAACTTTTATATATTCTTTTGATATATTCTTATTAACTTTTATCAGATTTTCGTATATGATTTATCAAATGAATCACTTTTTGTACTAGCTTCTTTTAACATCAACTAGTATTCGACCTGTGCATTTGCACAGATATATAAATAAATTATTGTGAGTTATTCGTACGTATATAATGGTTAATGATTTTTGCAAATTATAATTAAAGGAACTGAAATATTTATTTTTTATAAATTGTGTTTACCATATTGGATGTAATGTATATTTTGGTATGTATCTTTTTTTGTGAATTATTTATTATTTAGTTAGGAATTTCAAATACGTTTTTTATTTTCCAAAAGAAGTTAATTTAAATATAACCACAACAATAACATCTACACGTTAAATAGTCAACACATTATATGGTCAGTTATAAGTAAATAAAAAATTTATAATTTTTTTGTAATTTTGAAGCGATTAGTATGTTGATTATCTAATAATTGAGAGATTAGATAAATAAATAAGTAACGGTTTTTGGAGGGAAAAAATTATATTGTCACATAAGTATAATTGAATAGGTTTTATTAAATGCTCATGAGCCAACAATTATATATATATAGATATAGATATAGATATTGCATGTACATACATAGATTTACACTATTAATAAATAAATTATTTATCAACATTAATTGGAAAAAAATGAAATTGTTTATCAAATTAAATAAATT